TAGAGATGTGGGGGCGTGTTTGAATGAGGCGTTTTAGCTCGGTCTGGATCAGCCTTCTCTTTTAGATAGAATAAATCCTTTTGTGGGAGACTTTGAGCTTTGTAACGCGGCAGATCTTATACATGCACAAATAGCTACATAACACACTAAAGAAAAGGAAAAATAGAAATCGCATCATATGACCCATTTAAGAAAATGAACAGGATGGCTTTTATTACTAGACGTGTTTTTTTTCCTAGCATTACGATATTGACAATTTGGGGTTAAATGTGTTTAATTACCTTAAACGATTACCATGAAAATATCACAGTGCAAAAGTATTTATGGTTTTAATAAGCTTAATTTTCCCTATGCAAAGTATGATTTATAGGCAAGGCAATTACCTGGACCTTTTTTGTGAGTCTCACTCCGTCTGTTCTGCTCCTCTCATCCTGTAGGTGGCTTGTGGGCAGGATCACAGTCTGTTTCTAACAGACAGAGGCTCAGTGTACGCCTTTGGGTGGGGGGCAGACGGACAAACAGGTTTGTTTCACCATCTGTCTGTCATTATCTCTGTCTCTTTCCTTTGTCCCTCTTTTTGTTCCACTCCTTTATGAAACTTGCCACAAGGCATTTTCCAAAAAAATGTATCCAGACAACACGCGGTGACTCATGGTTGATACTTGGACACATCAGACCATGAGAGCCTTCCCTCAGGATTCATGTCTTTGGAATTTTAAGGTCTGGGCCATCACAGCAAGGCCTCCTGTCCAGTGCCCGTCGGAGGAGACCTGGCTGGGGTCAAAGTTCAGCAGGTGGCCACATATGGAGACTGTAGTTTGGCCGTGTCCACGGAGGGGCAGGTTTTTGGTTGGGGAAACTCGGAGTACCTGCAGCTGGCCTCTGTCACTGAGGCCACACAGGTAAAGGGCACAACTGGCAAACAAATATCAAAAATGATTGAACTGATTGTTCACTGTCATAGAATTGACACTTATAAGGAATTTTATATGTAAAAAGGCCAATGCACTAACAATGACAGGCTGTGCAGCTCATTTGTAAAGTCTGATTTTCAGATGAGCTCTCCACGGCTGCTGCCCCTGAGGGGTGTGGGTCGAGTCAGACAGGCGGCATGCGGAGGAACACAGGTGGCTGTACTGAATGGTAAGATTACAGTCAAACAATCCTAAAGTTTGCTGGAACAATTCAGTGCACTTAAAAAATGACCAGAAGTACTGTGGTGCTCTCTGAAGCACAATGTGAATAGTACATGAATATGATAAATCGTACAATGAAATATGTTAAGTACTTTAAGTTAAACAAGAATGTCAAATATTACCATGGCAACTAGCTGAAATAATAGAAGTTTATATTTGATTTTAAGTAATGAAAATGTTTTGCTATGGTTGTAGTTAACAATAATAATCCTGATGCTAATATGCTAGGTTATGCCTATTTATAGATTCTTATTCTAGATCGGGGTTCCCCAAACTGCGGTTTGTAAGTTGATCAAAAGCTAATTATTTAATGAAATCATAAATACAGTGGGTACGGAAAGTATTCAGACCCCCTTAAATTTTTCACTCTTTGTTATATTGCAGCCATTTGCTAAAATCATTTAAGTTAATTTTTTTTCCTCATTAATGTACACACAGCACCCCATATTGACAGAAAAACACAGAATTGTTGACATTTTTGCAGATTTATTAAAAAAGAAAAACTAAAATATCACATGGTCCTAAGTATTCAGACCCATTGCTCAGTATTTAGTAGAAGCACCCTTTTGATCCAATACAGCCATGATATGTCATCTGGCATGTCAAGGTTCAATTCAATTCAAGTTTATTTGTACAGCGCTTTTCACGATACAAATCGTTGCAAAGCAACTTTACAGAAAATTAAGTTTCTACAATATTTAGTAGTAGCTTATCAGTGGTGACTGTCAGTTTATGTACATATGGCAGAAATGTTCGAAAAAAATCAATTAAAGACGTAATCAAACAGATGACAGGTAGCAGTTAATAACCGATAAAAGACTGAAATGCTAATGTGTTGTTCTATTATTAAAAAATATTATAAACTCTCGGGGGATACTTCAAGTATATATTTTACATGAAGTAAAATGTTCAAATACTTTGACATATATATATATATATATATATATATATTTTTTTTTTTTCCAAACCTTGTATTAAAACCTGATACCACAATTAAACCAGCATAGTACATTAGTGTACCTTTGTGCTTTACCAGAAAAAAAACAAACATATGACCTGCCTGAATATTCTATTTGCATAGTGGTTACATGGTTTGTCATTATCATAATTTAAAATGCTCAGTGGGTTTTAATATTTGAATGCATAATTGTTGAATTCTACCTGCTATACAGCTCTTGAAAAAGCACAAATTGATGTTGCTTTGAAAGATCTCTTCTTTGCAATGCTTATGTAATGAATTAAATAACTCAATCTCTGTAGAGGAAGGAGAGGTGTTTGTTTGGGGTTTTGGAATCCTGGGAAAAGGCCCGAAGCTTTCAGAGTCTGCAATCCCAGAAAGAGTGCCAGCCACATTTTTTGGGAGGTCAGAGTTCAACCCTACAGTGAAAGTCTCGTCCATCCGCTGTGGACTCAATCACTTTGCAGCCATCACAGGTAAACTACAGTCTGAACATTATTACTTAGCATGTGCATTCACTCAAGATATTAAATGTCGTTGTATTGAGTATGATTAAGAGATTCTCCTGGAGTGTTTTCAGAGATTTTAAATGTGCTCTCATGCAGGATACTAAGTGTTAATGTTCTTTCTTCTGAAAACACCTGCTACAAATGCTTGCATAACCATGTTGGTACTAAATCCAGCCTGTTTCCTGGCCAACATCCATGTAAATAGATGGCGGAGTTATTTGCTACATGAATATTGTTTTCAGATCGATGTGAGCTGTTTGTTTGGGGTAAGAATGTGAGAGGATGTCTCGGCATTGGGAAACATGATGACCAGTATTTTCCATGGAGGGTAAGAAGCCAACAACATTGCATTCTTTCTTTTAACATGAAAAAGTGTGGATTTCAGAACTTGTCAGTTGGTTTTGCAAACAAACTAGGGCTGCCATTTTTTTTATTTACCAATGCAATTAGGTAAAACGCTGTTTGATTATTAAAATGAATCGCAGCTAATCACACACAACAATATTTGCTGAGAAAATCTTTTCTATAAACAATTCGAACACGTTGCATTATTGTAGCAGGTGAAAGCATCGAATAGACAAATTTACACTTCTATAGTACATTAGCATCTTAAATTCACTGAACTATACTAAGTAGATGTTAATCTGTTTTCTTTATGCTAATGATTGTCACTTGTTTTAGGTGACGGTGCCAGGCCACGTGACGGATGTTGCCTGTGGTGTTGACCACATGGTGGCGCTGGTCAAATCAATCATATGAGAGACTGTTATGGCAAATCTGGCACTTCAGTGAACACCATCAGCATGCCACGTTTCATTATTTCTCCAGAACTTTGGACTTGTTAAAGGCCCTCACTAAGGAGTCTTCATGTCACACTGAATCAAGCAAGCCAAGGCTGTGGTTTAAGGTAACATGGAAATGCGACACCTCCTCTTGCTGTTGACAGTGCTGACCTCAAAAATAAGCATGGGTGTGAATCCTAAATAACTCGAGTCCTCTTAATGAATCTTATGTTAGCTACTTGGACATTTTGGAAGTTTCCTCTAAATGTTTTGCCACATTGTCAACACCTGAAGTGGACACTGTATGCTCAAAGCCACATTATCTGTGCTGTTCCAAGATCTGCTTTTCGTGTTAAAAAATAAAATTATAAAAACTGATTCAAATTCAATTACTAGCTCATGAAATTATTTTAAGAGCATAATGGATTAAATAAAAATACTCTAAAAAAAATAAAGTACACACACATTTTGTACATTAAATATAAAATATATAATTTCATCACGTTTTCAGGTGGCTGTATAAATATAAATGAGAAGCAACTAATTTGAAGTTATATTGAAACTCCAGAATCAAGTACATTATTTGTACCAAACTGTATTGATAGTGATTGACATTCTGAGGGAAAAGAAGGGAATAGTTGAAAGTCACCCTCTTTAATGTGCAAATATAAAGGGACTGTTTCTGACCTACACAAAGTGTCAAGAAACAGAAAGAAAAATTCATGTTCAGATAAAAACAAAAGCAATCAAGTCATGACCTTTTCTGGTGTCTGAGCTGGTTTAATCAACAAATTCTCCCAATCAATAATTTGTATGGATAGTTAGAAGTAGCTTCTGCAAATATCATCCCACAGAAATCATTTGTAAATCACAGGTATGACTAAATATCTTCATAACTTGTGTATATAACAAATCCTCAATTGGCACATGGTCTAGCAGTCGTATGGTGTAAAGCCCCACTGTATGCTTAAGAAAACATAATTCAAACAGTGGGAAAAAAAAAAGAGTAACAATTGAAAATCAAACCTAAAAGCAAAGTAAGCTGAAAAAATATATTGTTTCACCTCTTTAATTGTCAGAGAACAAACACGTCACCCCTTAACACTGATAAATATATGGTTTCTGCAAATTTCTGCTTCCAAGCTGATAGAAGAAAAGCTTGTGGAAAAAAGACACCCATCCTCGTGTAAAGAGCAACAAGTGACCCTTCGAAAAGAGACTCCTTCAAGGGGGAAGATACTCATCCCCAGTATTTCACATCAGAAGAGTAAGATATGTAAGATAGACCTTAAATAAAGTGCAGACAAGGGGAGCTTGAAGGCCTAAACTAACGCCAGTGTCTGCGACACCTGACCTTAACTAACATTCAACAAATTATAGGTTTCCCCTAACAGTTCCTCCATGAATAGAGACAGCTTTGGAAAATACTCAAGAGCGAGTAGTGGTGAAGACTAAAAAGACATTTCATCCGATCACACACACGCGACGACTCCAGGGTGGAAATAAAAAAGCGATGTCCTCATTGGAACGAGTTTAAAAACAGAATACAGTAAACTGCACGATTTGTGTACTTGTTTGTGTATATAACCTAAACAAAAACAGTTTCACCTCACCTGAATCCTTGATTCCGATCTCTGCGCACGTTCACTGCCAACTTGGCCGGGCAGACAGAAAAACCATTGATTGTACTCTGAAGGCAAAAACAACAAAAGCAGCAGCAGCAACAACAACAACTAATTCATTACCCAGCTACTTGGCATTGAAACGTGAATATAGGATTGAGGTTAGGGGAAAGAAACAAAACCTTTAAACAAAAACTGGAAACTTTTTGAATGAGCATGAGAAGCTTCTTTCACAGACTGAACTTGTGACTGGACCATTTTTTTGCCTAAATAAAGAAAAAAACAACAACAACCCTGAACCATCAATTTGCATCCCGAGAAACATCACGTTTTTAGACAAGGAGCCTGTTTATGCCCCATGTCTTGGCACTGCAAGGGGAAACAAGAAGGGGGCAGGAAAAACAAAATAAATCTCGAGAAACATTGGAGTACATTCTGTGTCCTCTAGGAGGAGGACCTGCCACTAATACATAATGGTTGTTTGCAACGTCTTAAGAATCAGTAGCTAAAGTCCAGGCCCTGTTGCCATGGTAAAATGATGTGCGGAGGAGGAGTGGATAAGAGGAAGAGGGGTGGGGGAGAAAGAAGACAAGAAAAACACTGGATTTACACCATCGCAGGGTCCCTGTAGAGGTGGTTGGGGATTAGGGTTTTCTTTTTTTTGCAAGAAATGGACAGGAAGTGATGTTGTCGCTCAATACTGACTGCAAGATTAGAGTCCTCCCCACACTTATCCATTCGCCTTCCGATCCTTCTCCCATAACCTCCCCCAGAAGCAGTCCTCAGGTAAGCTCTTGGCACTTTTAAGAGTTTGACATAAGAAATCTAAATGTTTTCAGGGACGTGGGACTCCTATCCAATCGCAGAGAGTCTCACTGCCCTGTGCTCTCATTGGTCCTCAAGGCTCCAATCACACTCTGGATGTTCTCCTCGGGAACCTGGGTGGACACAAGATGTTGCCGTGTTAAACATCGCCCTTCGTAGCTGAATATTTGGTGACGGGAAAGTGGTGGGTGCTCAAACTCACCAGAGCGTGATCGAACTTGAAGGTACTGATATAATAGGCTGGAATGTCAGCGGTCGCCAGCGGTTCAGATATCTGAGCCACTATGCCACATTCATCTGATGGAAGACAACCGACTTACAAATTCAGTTACCAAATCCTCAAGCTTTCAAATGCATATTGGTTTTTCTGAGGTAGTTGTGCATTAAGGTGCGGTCACATTTACCTTTGTTTGGCAAATTTTCATGGGTAAAATCAAGCCATTTCAATAGAAATCCACACAATAGGGAATTTCACATGAGGGCGAGACATTTCCCCATGTAGATTCCCCACATTGACCAACCAACAGCTGCTTGGTCTGAAAGTGACTTCTGTGTGACTATGCTCCATACATACACTATACTATAGACAAAAATTTTTTTTTTATCCACTAAATTTTGCTGAAATTTTGTTAGTGACCGCACCTTAAACTTTTTACAATCAAGGAAAATTTGAATGCTATCATGACAAGAGTATGTGGCTAAGCATTTGTTAAAGGTGGGGTAAGTGATTTCTGGTAGCCAATGTTGATATTTAAAAATCACCAAAACAAACACGCCCCTACCACAAAAGTGTCTCGCCCCTATTTTGACAGCTCCGCCCCACACATACATACGCAACCCAGGCAACGATTAGTTATGTGAAACAAAGCAAAACCAATGTTACACCGTATATACACCGGACGCGAGTGGCGCGACAAAATACTATAAACTCATTATAATCAGTGATGCGGTCTACACTGGATGCGGCGCGACACGCCCTGTGCACTGAGTGCTCTCTCCTCCGCATCATGAGTAGACACGCCCCTTACTGTTGATTGGCTACAAGTTGGTTTTGGTACTCGGCCCGACTCAGTTTTCTAAAGCGTTTTTGAAAAAATACATACCCCACCTTTAATGTGTTCTGGGTGTTTTTTTAGCACATTGCTAGGGTGTCCTGGGTGGTTGCTTACAGGCCCAAGTCAAAAGAACCAACCCCCGAATTCTAGTCCCTAGATTAGAGTTAGAGACTAGAGATTAGAGTTTTAGCCTGAACTCACCAAACCCTAAGGGTTGTCCTCCGATGCGGACCATTTTCCAAAGCTCTCCTGAAGCGCTGGTGAAGAGGACGTTGTTTGGAAACCTGACAAGAAAAGAGCAGCATGTTAACCATATGCAATGATAACAAAATCATAATGATGATACTATACAGAAATCTTTTCATCAGGCAAGTTCCATTGTAGCCACACACACAAAGACATGATGATTCAACAGGCTTCAAGCTAAAAGATAAATAGTTGGAAAATTCTGATGAAACCACTGACAAAGAAATTCACCTTAAAACCCACGCAGGTCCCATATTGCAGTCTATACACAAAATTATGTTTAATTTCTTTAAAGTCAACATGAAATGACGTTTGCAAGCCATTTTACTTCTGTTAAAGGGACGGTTTATCTAAAAATTAAAATTGTCACCTTTTACTCACCCTCACGTCGTTCCAAACCCATAAGACTTTCATTTGTCTTCAAAACACAAATGAAGATATTTTTAATGAAATCTGAGAGATTTCGGTCCACAAAACCAAAACTTTGACGATTCTAAAAGTTTGTAGAGATAGTAAAAGTAATCCATATGAATTGATCAGTTTGATTCAAATCTTCTGAGGAGACATGGTTACTTTATATATTTAACAGATTTAATTTAGTCTTTTATACATATATAAACATTGATCAATTTGGAACGACATGAGTAAACAATGACAGAATTTTCATTTTTGTGTGAACTATCCCTTTAATGTGGTATTTCCATGTGATCAAGGAAAAAAAGATTTTATGGATTGGGAACTATTTGAAAAATGGGTGTTTAATACAATTGTTACAGGTGGCTGGAAGAAAAAAAAAGTTGGAAAATAATAGTGGAGTAGGTGACGTCAGCCAGAAAGCAATTTATTATATTTGGATGAAAGATTTAAAAAACAAACCCTTTGTCCTTTGTAATAACATGCTCTGATGATTTATGCACAAGATTAGGGGTGCGTATTGAGAAACAGGCATGTGATGAGTTGGAGACAAAAAAGCAGGAAAATCTGACCTGGCTCCCAAGCCCCGGCGCTTATTATTTAAAGGGGTCATATGATGCTGCTAAAAATAACATTATTTAAAAGTTACGCCATCTTTCTTTGCTTGAACATTTGGGCGGCGTTATGCAAATCTTCCCACATAGTGAGGTAGACATGTGGGGGCGTGTTAGAACGAGCCGTTTTAGGTAGGTGTGGCTGACTCTGAACTTTTATAAAGAATATCTCTTTGGATTTGAGACTTTAGTCTTTACAACTTTACAGATCTTCTTTATGCACCAAGAACTCGTAACAAATTGAAATCGCATCATATGACCCCTTTAAAAAAATGAATCTTATCACATTAAAAGATATATTTTATTAATACATACTATTGTCCTGTAAAAGTAAAAAGCAGCATTTAATAATCATGATTAATATAATATAATAGTCATTATTAAAGTACCTGCCAAAAGTTCGGAAATATTACAATTATTAATATTTTTGATAAAAAAATACTTTAGTCTTCAGCGTCACATGCTCTTTCAGAAATCATTACAATTTGATTTGATGCTCAAGAAACATTTCTGATTATTATCAATGTTGAAAACAGTTGTGCTGCTTTATATTTTGTGTGGAAATGGTGATAATTTTATTTTTCAGGATTCTTTGATAAATAGTGCTGTCAATTGATTAAAAAAAATAATTAATCGCACATTTTTTCTGAAATTAATTGTGATTAATCCCACCTAACATTAAAGTTCTTAATTATAATTTTATATTGTAATAATTTCACAATCTTCAAATTAATGTAGAAACAACATAAAGACAGTATATTTTTAATATTTGTTTAATGGCATCTTTTTGCAACTGAAGGTGAACTATCCCTTTAACTATAACCATTCTACATTACAAGATAATTGATAGCTATCAATTAGAACATTTATTAGACTAATAACAACTAAATAATAAAATAACTTCTCATTTAAGTGAAATTAAAACAAATTGAAAAAATGTATCGCCTGGGTTAACGCTAATTTTGATAGCACTAATAAATAGAAAGTTCAATAAACAGCATTTATTTGCATTTATCAAATATATTTATTAAATTTATAAAAGCATTTATTAAATAGAAAGCGTTTGCAACATTTTAAATGCCTTCACTCACTCTTCATCACTTTAATGTATGATGAATAAAATCAATTTCTCTTTTCTTAAATCTTACCACAAACGTATCATTGTATCATTTCCACAAAAATGTTAAGCAGCAAAAACAGTTTTTAACATTGACAATAAATAATAAATGTTTCCTGAGCAGCAAATCAGCGTATTAGAATGATTTTTGAAGGATCACGTGACACAAACTTCTCTTCGTAAACAACAACAGATGTATAAATGATTCTAAAGATGAATGTTGTGTTCCCAAATGCAAATTAAAGCGACTCAAACACAGCTAGCATTTACAGTGAATATAAACTGAAAAAAAGAGTACTGTTACAGCAGACATGTAGCACGTCACACTATAGCCTATATTTATATAATTACATCACAACCGTTGCAAATTTTATGATATACTAAGCAATCTCAAATTCTCACCACCATTCATAAAAACGTTACCAGGCGAGTCACACGTTTCAGCGCTGATTCTACTCGCATTTGGCACTTTGAACCATTTGAACCCTTTTGACTGTCCTGCAGATGACACTGTGAGCTCGTTCAGCGCTCTCAGGACCATTCTGTCCATGATGTATTAGAAAACATAACCTTTTCGCAGTTTAATTAGTTAATTGCATAAGGCCATTTCACGATTTCAATCATCATGCAGTAACCAGCATCACCCTGAACTCCCCCGAAATAACCGGAATTCTGATTAATCCTAAAGAATCACATCCCTGGAGAAATCAAATGGGGTCAATTGTGTTTTCATGTTGACATTAACAGAGTGTTAGATGCAGGGCTTGTCTAACCTCCGGGTCGTTTGCTCATCCATAACTAGAGAGATGTAGCCCTCGATCAGCGAGAAGGAGAAAAAGCGGATGTGTCCAGAATCCTCACTCTGCCCCCCGGTCTCTTTCACACTGTAATGAAGCACAGCAGGGATTCTTGTTATTACACAAGCTTCATTAGAGCTCAACTCAGCTGATGCTTTCACAAGGAACAGGGAAAAATGGGAGGAGGAGTATGATAAGGGCAACTCTGATCTGATCTTTCCCTCTAATTGTTGGCCTGATGCCACTGTCTGAGCAGTAAACAAGTTCAGCCACTATAAGGAAGGGCAATATTGTACAAATACAAACTGCTCATTTTATCTCCAGTCTTTTCTCCCCTGTCGCCACATAATGCACTCCCTACAGTGACCTGTGTGTATTATCATCATTCTCTAATAGATCTGGCAGATGGCTCTCAGTTACTGCCATATGTGAGCCAGGAGGAGCGGCCCGGCTTGAAGCTCTTACCCGCCCGAGTAGAACATGACGTCCATGAGCAGTGTGGCCACCGAGGGCAGCGTGTCGGGGTCCAGGCTGGTAACGCAGAACATGTTACTGGGGCTGGAGAGAGGGTGAATGATCGGCCGAGGGACTGAGGAAAAAAAAATAAAACGGGCATTAACATCCACCTCTGGTGTGTCAGTCCAAAAACTGTTGGTAACCAAACAGTATTGGTGATCATTGAAAAAAAAAAAAACAACTCAAAATATCATCTTTTATGTAACACCGAAAGTTTTGTGATGACATTAGGATGAGTAAATGATAACAGGATTTTTATTTTTGGGTCCCTTTAAGTCTCAGCAACATCACTTGGTACTGCAAATGCACAAAATGCCTTGCGCCGACACACCCTCAGACTAATGACAGATGATTACCCAGTTTAGGCTTGACAAAACCATTGGTGACCCCGGTACTGTTGGCAGCAACCGTTTCTCCATTGACAACCCTCAGGAGAGTGAATTCTGAAGACAGCGTGTGCATGACCATGGGCAGCTAATACCATTTTATTAACCAGTGTCTTTGCTGCAGACCTTTGATGATCCAGTTCAACCATACTAATAAGCAAAAATGACTTTTGATAAACTAACAATTGTGCTTCATTGTTTTTTTATTGCTGAAGAATGTTGAACCTTCTTCTGCGTTTTACTGTACAGATGTGAATTTACTTTTCCTTCAGCCTGAGGTTTTATTCATTAAACTTTTTGGTGTAAAAGGGCTTTTACATTTGCTATAAATAGAACTTCTTATATTAAAAACAATCAAGCCCTGCTCATATTTAAAAAGTAACGTAACGCATTACTTTCCATAAAAGGTAACTAAGTAACGTAATTAGTTACTTTTTTTAGGGAGTAACGCAATATTGTAATGCATTACTTTTAAAAGTAACTGAATAATGTATAATATACAATTTAATTTTGCTGGCAACACAAAAGTAAGCAAATCACAAATATTGCTACCATTTTAATATGCTTGTAATTCAGCTATTAGGTTTTAGTTGTAATGGCGTGTCGGAGTTAAACTTTAGTATCAAACACAGAGTTAGAGTTCTGAGAATCAGTTCAAACTGCCTGTTGCAGTCAATGGATTCAAAATTGACGTCACAAGGACAGTAGTCTCCATGTTACATTCTTTCATGTTCTTTTTTTCATATTTGTATTTACTAAAATTATTAGAAATCATTACTTCTTGTGTTCATTTAGTAAAAATGTGATTTAAATTTGATTAACAAAAACAGCGTTAGAGTTGATAAGTTTGATTGTTTTTGTGAATCAGTTCAAATTGCCTGTTGAAGAGAATTGATTCAAAACTGATCCACTGTCAAATTTGTTTGCATCATCCTTCAAAAATGTTCACGGTAGTCTCCACGTTACATTTCATGTTTTCAAATTTTTTAGTTAAAATATATTTGTGCATATTTAGGAAAATTATTAAAAATCATTACATTCATTAAGTGTAAACACGGTTTGAATATTTGAACTATATTTTTGCTGTATTTTATTTCTTGCATTAAGTAACAATGGTTGTTTGGTTGAAATGATGGTTAAACTTTTATAATAATAATAATAATAATATACGGAATACAAATATTGAATATCTGAGGCTGAAATATAATATATAGAAATATTTTTTCAAGCTATTTAGCTTAGCCTTACACAACATTGAGTTTTTCCCCAGGGCTGGAAAGCTTTAACCCTTCAACAACTCCTCTGGAAGACAATATTCTCTTTCACTTTTTTTTAGTGATCCAAATGAAGGAGACATCTGTGTGCTCTAGGCCTGACGGGCCGGACACAGACGGGTATTTCTGAACTGCTCTTAAAGTTTTAAGTAACCAGGCCAAGAGCGAAGGACAGGGTGAGGATGAGAAGGAAATGGCCTCTCCAGTGGCCCAGCACAGGAGGCAGGTCATCTCCTCTCTTTCTATAAAGCTCTGTGATTATTCCTCTGGCTGGGAGCAGCTGGTGTGGAACCTGAACTTTCCGGTAAATTCCAGTAAGCGGCTGCTGATCCACAGGCTTTATCCTCTTTACATAACTACCCCCAGATTACCATCGCTCCCACATTTCTTGTTATTTTCATAAACAGGCTCAGGTGACTGTACCACCACTGATTTGGAATGTGTTCACAAACACACACAAAGTGGAAATGTGCTGAGATAACAGCAACTGGCTGTGGTCATGGTAGATGGGTTGGTTAAAGGAAAGGAGAAGTGATGCCTTGCTCTGGATTTACTGTATGTATTGTTTAAAGTTTATTCATCTGATAGCAATAACCAGACATAATGCCATGTCCTTATATAAAAGGACAGTTTCAACTTGTGCTATGAAATGGAGAAGCTGTGAATCTGTATTTTAACCATTAATGACACTTATTCAGACTACATATCACAGGGCTTGTTTTCATATAATCTTTCGCAATAGCCTGGTTTATGTTTGTCATGTATTGCAGTTCTTTTTCTCATGATATAACATTCATGTTTTTGATCCTTATATTGATTTTTTAGTTCTTCATGTGTGGATTCACATAATTTCCTACAGTTCAAGTAATGAGGATTGTCTAAGTGAGTGTAAACTCCAGAATAAGTCAGAGATGATTCTATGCAATGCCGTACTGCACAAAAGTGAAGTGAATCACCCAAGAGAGAACAAAACTCTTTATCTAGGTCAGGGGTGTTAAATTAAAGGAGTAGTTCACTTCCAGAATGAAAATTCTGTCATCATTCACTCACCCTCCACTTGTCCCAAACCAGTATGAGTTTCTTTCTTCTGTTGAACACAAAAGAAGATATTTTGAAAAATGTTAGTATCCGAACAGTTGATGGGCACCATTTACTTCCATAGCATTTTTTTTCCGGCTATGGAAGTCAATGGTGCCCATCAACTGTTCGGAGGGTGAGTAAATGATGACAGAATTTTCAATCTGTAAATGAACTAATCCTTTAAATTTTATATCCTTGTCCGGACAATACTTATTTAGAATAGTTATAAATTTCCATGTAGTCAAGCAGTAGAACTTTATAAAAAATAAAAAAAAAAGGCAAAATAGTCACAAAGGATTAAGATACTGAGCCAAAACTGTGGCATCTGAGATTATTTCCGTTATTATCAGTTGAGCCAAATTGGATATAAATATTAAAAGGTAAGATCAGCTGTTTAATCAGACTATTAACATATTGTTTTTACAGTCAGATACCTACAGTATGAATAGCACATAAGGCTTACTGAAAAAATGAGAAAATTTTTAGCATTAGCAAAAACCAAATTACCAGGAACTAGCTAGTAAACTAACTAGCAAATTCAAAGTATCTTTTCTTGCCCATCCATGCCAGAAATGATCTAATTCAGGGGTGTCCAATCCTGCTCTTGGAGGGCGAATGTCCTGTATAGTTTAGCTTCAGCCAGCTCCAACCCACCTGCCTGGATCTTTCTAGTAATCCTAAAGACCTTGATTAGCTGGTTCAGGTGTGTTTAATTAGGGCTGGAGCTAAACTCTGCAGGACACTGGCCCTCCAGGAACAAGTTTGGATCAATGCCAGTTAGAACAATGTTTATGATGAAATGCTCTTAACATGCTAAAATAATAATTCTAAATATAGATGAAAAAAAACTGTGTAAAGGTGCCATTAATCTGACACAAACTTGATTTAGTTAAATGTTTTATATTGTTGCATTCTTATTTCTACAGTGTTTTTACAGTGTCGATCTTGTGCTGCTCGCCACAGTGTCTGCACTACTGTTGTTAAAATAACCATGGCATCTGATTTATTTATTTATTTATTTTAATCAGTAATGCAACGCTTTACATTTTTAGCTAAGGAGAGAAGCAACTTACAGGGAACACAAATGGCTTAAAGGCACCAACTCTGGAGCTAGATATTACATATTGCGACTCTAAGTGCTTGTGGTATGAACAGCTCTGTTGTTTGATTGCACTGCTCATTTAAACTGTAGAAATGGTGAAACCATCGTCTCACGGTCCGGAAGGAACCAAGCTAATTGATGACCCCTGAACTAGGTGTCGCTAAAATCCCTGAAATTAGTTTTGTAGTAAATATAAATGATGCTTTCATATGAATTACCTATATGATGGTGTCATGTGCTTCTTTGTGTGTGTCAATTGTTTTAATGGAGAAAATTAACGGATTAAAAAAAACAACTCCTTAATTCTGGTGGAAATGCAAACAGTATGTAATTTTGGAAATATAAAAATTAGGCAATTGTTTCTTGCTCTCTATAGCCTAAGCATGTGTGACACTCACCAATATAAAATCAGTCTGGTATGTTGACAGCATGAACACAGAGATATTATGGTCTGCCAGCGGGGCGATGACTGATTTTGCGATTTTCGTTACACCGATTGGCTGAGAGCTGGTAGAGCTCCCGCCCCCGGACACCACATTAAGAGCCAACCACGTCGCATCGGCCACACTGAGATACTCAGACTCCGGCAGCTCTGAAACAGACAACAAAAAAAGAAAAAGAAAAAAAAAAAAGTGACATGGAGGTGACTTTGAACATACTGAATGCTCGACCTAAAGGTGATGACTGGAATCTTTATAGACCCTATGAAAGCACGACACAGCTTTCTTTTTTGTGTTGATGTAATTGCTACTGAAAAAGGAAGTTGGGGTGGTGCATTTCGAAGAGCTTTTGTAAAACAACCAATAGGCTTCAGTGGGAGGGACTTTCTGCTTGTACAGAAATCTGTGTAGTGCAACACGAGTTACCAATATTTTTGTTCTGTTTTCTTGTAAAACAGACCACTGGATTTTGTTGATGAGAACATTAAAATGGTCTCAAAGCTAAGAAACACTAACAAAAACAAATTTTCATTACTTTTCAAATCGATAGCATGTGAAATACGGGGGAAGATCGGGATGAAAAAAATGTTCTACCACTTTCATGTATCAGATTTATAGTTCTCCAGATTAAATATGGCCCGAAAAAGCTGCCAACAAACCCACAAAACTGATGGAGCAATATGTGGTCAAACATTGGCAGGGAGTCAAGCTACAAGGAATTATAGAGAATCGGTGATACTTTACATGACTTAATCTTGCCTCGCTGCACTAAACCCAGTGCACTCTTAGTAAAAGAGTAACCACGAGACCTACCTTTAAAGCCATCTTCATCCACGATAATGGTGTAATCCTCCGGAGTTTCGGTCAAACTAAAGAACTTGCATCTGGAGAGAAGCAAAGTGAAAAAGAGATGGAAATTATAAGCCAAGAAGGACCAGAGTAATGAATAAAATTTAATATCATATTCCTGAGAAGCTTCTATGAACATGCACATCTATTGTTCAGGCATAGGGATTTGAAGAATTAAAATTTTATGCATTATTTATCTGACACCGCAAAAACTTTTTTTTTTTTTCAAGGTTTTTGCAAGCTGTCAGACACTTCTGGTGCTGTGTCACTGGATCGTCTGAAATCCCCTTGAGTCTAAATGACACAGCATTGCAGTACAGAAAGGTATCTGAAGTGTATATGTCTTTGTACGGTATTAATGAAGTACTTCTTGAATTGTTTTATCATTTAAAGCACTAATAACAAACTGACTGACTTATTTTTCTACATAAAAATCCACCTTTCTGCAGCACTAGGAACTCATTCAGCTTTGAGCTGAATTGGAGTCATTGAGTGAAGAGAGAGAGAGATACAGTGATGGATCTACACTAATTTGAGTCCTGAGATGAGCAATAAAAGCAAAGCAATAATCACAGAGGAAAGGCAGGTCTTATGCCCTTATATTGGAGCAACAAAACATCTCCACGGTAAATTTTCAACAGGCTCTGACTCACTCACTCAGAGCCTCTGCTCAGAAATGTGCTCCTAACAACCGTTCCCGAGGTCTCTGAGGACACACACATTGAATCTTATTTTCAAATGCACTACCAAATAATTATTGATTCCAGCAGTTTATCTAAAAATATATTTACCGCTTTTTATTTCCTAACTCCATTTTTAGGTGAGAAACCCTGAAATTACAAGATGGCTGTTCCTGTTTATCCAGTAATGTTGCTGGAAATAAAGCCTTCTTACCTGTAGACTAAAAACAACACACTATAACCTCACACAGTCAAAGCCACTGGAGCAGAATAACAATTTATTATTATTATTATTATAAACATCACTACATGCACATTTGGTTAACACCAAAATGAAAAATAACCCTTATGTTGTTCCAAACCTGTGCTTTCTTTCTTCTGGGAAATACAAAAAAGATATTTTGAGATGTTTTTTTTTTTTTGGTGAGCTATTCTTTAAAATCCACATTCAAAGTCAAAATAAAATGAAAACGATTTGCAACCTATTTTAAAAATATGAAGTCTTGTTGACATCAGCCAAAAAGGATTTTCAGAGGTGGAGCAAGTTATTATTACCCTTATTTGATTTAGCATTACAAAGACATTTTGTCTTTGGAATAATGTGCACCAAAGAATTCTGTACAAAAACACCAAATGCAACTATTAAGAGAGTAAAAACGGTCAGTTTTAGTTTGAAAATAAAACTTCCAACAGATCTCCATTACTTTATACTTTAATATGGAAATAATTTCCAATGTACCTTCTGATCACATCTCATAAAGTGATGTTCTTTCAAAAGTAATTTTGCCTTGTTTTCCAGTGCAAATGTCTAAAGATTCTTAAACCCAGATACATTGAGAAGCAAAATGACATGCTCTTGTTTTCTGGGAAATTGATCAAAATGAAGTCAGTTTATAAAACAAGAAAAAATATATCAATGGAGATAAAGAAATGCACTTAATTCAAAGGAAAAACAAGTTTTCATACCCCATTGACATATTTGTTCTTGTTTTAAGTATAAATTCAATTTTGTTAAATTTCTCAGACAACAATCGTTTAATTTGAATCTCAAGTAAATGTATTTTTATTTAAGAATGTTTAGATACATGCACACATATAGCCTACACATTTTTATATTAAATAAAGCACTATATATATATATATATATATATATAATATATAATACTGTATATTGGTCAAAAATGTATATATTGGTACGTCCTTATTTATATATATATATATATATATATAGCTTTTTGTTTTGTTTTAATGGTGACACTGCATTTGGTTAACTGTCGTTTCATTGTATCTTCCTGTGTGAAAAAAAACTGCTTCCTCTATATCTTGCTGGACAAACAGTGAGCCAGCACAACCCAAGGGCTGGCAACAATGTTTCTAACTGTAATCAACTATTTCCAGAGCTCCCCTCGTGTTGTGTGCATTCGGCATCACTCAGACACTTCACAAACAGCTACTAGCCCAAATAAATAGATTCAAGCTGTGCCTCTGCGACAGAAAAGCAAGCGTTTCCTCCTATCACCTAGCATAACAGTGTTTGCCAAGTCAGTATCAATTTAAAGATTCAAAAAAAGAAAAGAAGCCATATCAAAAATGCCATTTCTACATGAAGTTACATTCAGATTCAAAAAAAGCACTTAAAACGGATTTCACGGCATGCTGGGCAAGACATACAGCACTGAATACAATAGAAACGCTGTTCACAGCCAGATGCAAACCACCAGGAGGAATATGTCACTGTAAACAGAACCTGAATGTTTAAAACAGCCCAGCTGCAAAGCTTTTTACGGTGATAAATCTTCAATTTGCAAATTAATAACCCTGCTTTTGCAGGCAGACCTTGAATATTTTTGCTGAGATGTTACTTTGCTATTTTCAGTATTTTTCCTTTCGATATGAGGTGATGTCATCATTGCTGTTCCAGGCTCTGAGTCATGACAAAACAGCTTTGATCTCCAAAGAAAAGTTTCCTATTCAAACATGTCTAACTACTAGTCGTCGACTGATGTTTTTTTTTTTTAATGTCAAAGCCAATATCTAACACACATACTTGTTTGCTTAATTTCAGTCTCACGAATGCAATAATACCTTTTCAAAACAAGTATGCAGAACATGACAGCCATTAAGAAGCATAAAACCAATAAAGCATTCTGGACTGTCATGGAAAATAAGATTTCCGAATGTTAGAGCAAGTAAACATGCAAAATAAAAAGGGCCTGAACGGAATTAGGCCCCAGATTTAAACCACTGATTTTTTTTTTTTTATCAAGACACTTACACAGCCATGAAAACAACCTACTCTGCCTTACTAACCACTTTAACTATAGCAAGAGGCCTGTGTGAGTGTGTGTGTGTGTGTGTCCACACAGTCTAACAAGACTAAATGACCGAACAGGATGTTTCTCCCTGAGGTTCAGCCTCTGACTGGAGATGTGCTCACACACTCTCCTTAGCAAACACAGCAAGGGGGCATTTGGGACTCTATGAATAGATGGTCTTTCACAAAGACCCTCATCTGAGGATGTATCAGTATGAGACAGAAAACAACTGCAGAACGTTACCAGCAGCAATGAATGTCCATTACTAAACACAAAAGGTGGTAAAAAAAACAAAAAACATTTCTGTTCACAGGCAGTGAGCCTATGCAGCAAATGCATGCAAATCAGGTTCAGGCCACAACTTTTCCCTCCTCTTCCAGTTGTTTACAGGTTTCCACCAGCGCCACTGAGAGCAATTCAAACGGATCTCTGCCAAACTGATCAAAACAGGTCAGTTTTTGATTAAAGCACCGAAAAGATAAGCTTCACATCAAGTCATCAGGTTTGCCCCCTTCATCTGTATCAAAGCCGTGATGCTGAATACGTGATCGTGCATTGAGCATCACAGAACGGGGGATTTAAAGCAACATCCCCCTCCGTATATTTATACCACCGCACAAGAAGAAAAACAACCCCGAGCACGTTCACACACCCCTCTACCGTCGAATGAACTCCAGCAACAGCACAGACCATCATTACCGCTAAACAAAACACACATGACTGCTTGCTTGATGATGCCATGCGCCTCGTAGATGGAGCAAATAGAAATTTGGATGAAAAAAGTGCTGAAACTGCATCTGCCTTTCATAAGAGGTGCGTAGCGGTAAGCTAATGTAATTCCGCGTCAGATTCTTCAAGACAGTAAATACAGGTTTAACACAACGCAAACCTGATTCGTGAAGCTACTTACCTTGTTTTAGAGGGCAGGAAAGCTAGTTTGATTAATCCGTGAGTGCAAATCTGGATGCCCTCTTTCGCTATACTTGCTACTTTTAAACTGTGCTCTAAAATGTGCAGCTCCATCTTTTGCGTCTTCTCATTTGTGGTACATCTAAAAAATATAACTGCCTATTCCGTTTTAATAAAACAAGAAAGAATAAATAAATAGAGCTTATGGAGTCTGGACAGGGCTTTAAAACCTTCAAACAGAGCGGAAAGGAGGGGAGAGAAAAGGAAAAGTTGTCTGCCAAGGAAACGAGAGAAAGAGAGTAAGGCGGGGTGAAATAAAAGAAAGCACAACGAGGTAAACGGGAAGGGAGAAAAAAAAGAGGACTGTCGGCCCCCGTGTTTCCACTCCGACAAGGATTGGAATGGGCCAGCAGCTGGTAACAGTGAAACAAACAACCTGTCAGTCAAAAAAAGGGGGCGGGACGAATTATACAGGAAGTGCGTGTTGGGAAATGTAGTTCGGTGACACAGTTTATCGAGACGCACATTTTTTGTTTTAAAATGTAGTCGTATTTGCATAAAATGCCATGTAATTTATTTTTTGGATATAAAACAATTATTTGAGTGTTATGAACATTTTTAGCTATGCCTCCATTAAACTAAAATTATCAAAATATTTAACATGGGCTTAAAAAAGTGCTGGTACACAGAACTTATATAATTTGAACAGGGCCACGTCGCTAACATTTACAGGGCCCAGGACAAAATTGTGTCAAAATGTTATTAATGGGCATCCTCTCCCTCAAGACCAATGAATGGTTGTAGATGAATTTATACCCCTTCATCGCATGGCCTGGGACAACAGTCGTTTGATGTAAATTGATAATTTCACCCACCATGTAGAAAATGTACTTCTGGTAAAGTCCACCCCTAAAATACTAATATTTTAGCATTAAAAACCTGCCTAAAAATTGTAGTTTGCTGGATCAAGGGTGACCCAGTTTAGCCACATACTCGATTATAAAGTATGTGACCTTTTCTTGAGCCTAAATAAAATCCTGCTAATCATTGACTGTGTAAAAGTGTGATGGGGGATTTTCAATCAATATTAATCTATTCTGTCTTTACCGAAACCAAAAAAAGACAGTAGGGGGGAATTTTTGTCCCCCCCCCCAAGATTAAAGATTAGAAGTGGAATGAAACCGATATTTACAAAGCCAGCCAATTGAAGTAATTTTCCCCCAGCTAGAATTTTAAAACAAGAGAAAAAAAAAAGACATATATATATATAGTAATTTGAAGCAATCATGTTCAACATGTATTGCATAATTACATCATAACACCCCTTAATTTACCAAGTCCAGGCCCAGAGTGCATCATCTAACACAAGGCAGCAGAAGTTTAATAATTCACAATTGCGGTCTATTGGTAACCAGGGCTGGTGCTGCAGAACGTCATAAAACAACAAGCATTCTTTGTGTGCAGCTGTGATAAGATCCCTGGGACACACTGATCTCTCACAGGGACAGGCATTGTTCAGTTAAAAGGACAGCACTCCTCTTTAGACACTATTCCTTTCAGCATTACCACCCGGAACACATTAAAGCTTTGGACTAGGACTTCTTTTCATTCTTTGAATATCAGGTATGTTTGTTACCAGGTAATGTTTTTAAATAGGCAACTCTCTTCCTAGGCCTAACATGCTTTCTTGTAAAAGTTAAACTTAAACATGGGAAAAGCCAAATTAATATTTTCAGTGGAGAATCTTTAGTTTCAGTCAAGAAACTGTTCAGCCAGCAGTAAACATTTATCTTCTATAATGCACTTTATAAAGAAAATGTTACAATAAAGGCTAAAGGACCCTAACATCAGACTACATCTTTCTCTTAACAAGGATCAGCTTTACACCTTTATCATCTGAGACAGACAAAGGCAAAAAGCTTTTGAGCATTTTCATACAGACTTAATCCTTTAATATTAAAATGACTTATAAAAGCTTGTGTAAAAGTGCAAACCGAAATTAGTCAAAGATTCAAGTGAATAAAATACACAAGTCCATTCTGTTCTATGGCTTGAACAATTTATCTTTTCTAACCAGATACTTTATGAACAAATTCTCATCTGAAAACTACACTTTAAGACATTCCCCAAAGAGCAAACACAGCAATAGAACAGTCAAGCGCTCACAAATAAAGGCTTAGTTACACTCAAAGGCAGCTTGTCAAAGCAGAAGTGGAGCACTAAAAGCGGTGTTCTGCAGAGAGAATCCTTTAATCTGAACCCCATGACCCACATGAAGCCCTGAGAACCAGTCTCCTACTGGCATGACACTGGCTATGAAGCTTCGAGACTTCAAATCTTAATGCTATCCTCTCTAATGTGAGCTCTAATGAGAAAACTGTAGCAAAGTTTGATGGCTAAATTACATGAGAAAAACTGTTGTTTGCATTCATGTTGGGAGATATTTGGGATTTTACATTGGTCCTTAAGCCTTTCTGAAAAAAATAAAAATAAAATAATAATAATAATAAATAAATCCTTAAACCACAGATACCTTTCACACTTAATTTATTGAAAACTGCATCACCACAAAACATTCCAAAGCAGAAGGTTTACAGCTTCCCTGTGCAGTATCTCCTCACCAGCAACAACTGTTAAAGACAGAAGTAATTACATTCATATTGAAAGTGCTAATACAATAAGCCATTCATATTGCTTTAAGTGAATCAGGTGTTGCCCCAAAAGACAGCAAGCAGTTTATTTTTTGCGAAAAAACCTGCAAAACATTTCATAGGGCACTGATGTGGGATCACAGCGTTAAGGATCGCCAGTGAAAAGAAATGGCTGACCCCCTTTGAAAGTGATCCAAGGATGTGGAACATCTCTCACCTTTCAAGAAAAGTCTGGCTGGGAATCCCTTCACTCCAACTCCAAACCTGTTACAGCATAAATAATTAAACACGCACAACCTCGCATTGAGTTGTATGTTGAATGCATTTAAGGAAATGTTCCTAATAAATCCCAACAGAAACACAACTGAAGTGACTCATTAGGATGGGTTTAATTTTTGGTCATGTCCACAGCAAGTCAGGAACCACGTATCCTAAAAGCCTTGGTATATGACCAAATTTATCACATACATGCAACTGGGAAATGTTCAAGAACAAATGCCTTACTTTTCATTTTACAGTACTGGAAGAACGATAGCCTGCCAGCATTCATTCTTCAATCTAGCCATATGGGACCTGTGGGCACAACACTGACACATCAGGATTATCAAGACACACTGAGCTATTGAAACAATGTCACAAGGCTTCTAAAAGGAGTAGGTCGCAGTGTTCCGTTATCCTGGGGATGACATGTTGGGTATGTGAGAGAATTGAAAGCACACCTGCTCTGCACTAGAGAGGCTGTGCAGGAAAGTTCGCATCAAAAACAGCTTGGTTCGTGGCAAGTGCTGCTCCACACAAATTCATCTCAGGATCTGGGAACGCAATGTGTAGCAACCAACTTTTCAATACTTATGAGAAGTGCTTATAGACTGGCTGCATTAAAAAAAAAACACACAAAAAAAAAGCCTTGTCTCGACCACCACCAGGACCCAACAACAAACATATAAGGTCCAATAAGAGCGGGTGTCAAGGTTCTCTAGCACTGGCATATGAACATTCCAGTCAGACAGACAACTGGATGCAGATACCAACAGTGCTGACTAATGTTATTTCTAAGAAACCACTTTAACATTACAAACCTCCAATCACCAAAAACGGGGTGTTGCGCCTTCTAGTGGACATCCTTCAGATCACACCTACAGAGTGGAAATTTAAAGTGAGATTTTGTTCTTCACTATGCCTTACAAATTAAGGTACACCCTTTAAGCTCATTTAAATGTACTGCAGCGTTATCCCACAAAGCTAATGATATTAGCGACATGGGTAAAGCGATACTACAGACTTTATCTCTGAGGCATTTCCAACGACTAAGCTCTACTGAGAGGGGCAAGTCGGGATAGACCTCAATTTAATAAACCAAACAAATTTAACACATTTTGAAATGTTACAGATAAAATGAAACCAGATAATATTATAAAAAAAAGCTAACATTGTGACATTTACCATTAGGACAAGCTTCTTCAGATGCAAAACATGCATTTTATGTATTCACTCCCAGGATTATTCACCCACATTTTGTTCTGAAGCCTGAAAGCATAGGGAAACATAAGAAAAGCATAGCATGTCTACATTTTAAGAACAATGAAAGGGAGTTTGAGTGTTCAGAAAGGCACATCCTCTTTCATGGTTTATAAGAGCAGTTGAACATTAATGCCAATCATCATCACAAAACTCTGGCAATTCATCATTATCCCTACAAATTCTTACCCGATTGGCCAGACCGTTCACAAGAGGACCTTTTATTCCATCCGAAACCTGAAAGCGCACACATCTTATTTGAAATGACATGTAATCAATAAAAAGCAGCAACATTTTCTGTGGTAAAAATGTCTCTTCTCATAAGTAGCACTGTTATTTAGTGGCCACAACAGTGAGTTGCAAGAGAAGGGAATTGTATTTTTTGCACTGCACTTGTTCCTAAGCCCACTATGACTAGACTGTGACTAGTACTGTGCATTTCCTTTCCAAACCATTTCCAAAAAAATAAAAATAAAAACTACTTACCATACTGCATATGTCAGTTACTATACTCTACAAACACGGAGAGGCCTAAGAATTCCCTGTTTGGAGAAATAAAAGAACATTAGTCTTCATATCGTCCCAAATTAGACATGATGGGGATATTCCAGGCCTCATTGTCATCACTGCAACTATTCTACAGTGATGAAAGCAAACCTGGTGTTTTTCTAGCCAAGCAGATAGAGGAATTTGCCCTATTTGAGAAATTCCGCTTGTGATTATCTGCTTGGCGATCTACGAGATCTGATCAATCTTTAAACACGTGTTCCTCACAAGGTCCAAATTACCCACAACGAATCAGTATAGTGCGATATAATTGGTGCATTTAACTACAGAAGCAATCGGAATAAAGAACTTGTTAGTTCGCTAGTTTTCTCTAAGCACCGCAGGGCTACTCACCACGTGGTGTAACGTTAGTCTACTATTCGCTAGAACGTAAAAGAAAGACTTTGCGTCAAACCTATTAAATGTTACCATAAATCAAGAGAACACAATCTGGGTAATTGAAATGATGAAATAGCAGATTCAGATATAAAAAAAAGCCAAGTACCTAGTTTTAAGCCACACTTCTTCACAAGCAATCGCAGACAGGTTGAAGCTGAGAGAGACACCGGAAGAAGAGCGTCACATTTTATAGCGCAGGATCTGACTTTACGACATTTTACGGCTCTGCGCTCTCCTCTGCGTTTCTGTGGTAAAATCCATAGACATACCCCTCGTCCAAATACCCACACTTGCGGTCTTGGCCACTTGAGAGCGCGTGCGCGCGACAGGAAGTAAGTGCGCAAGACTGTCCCAGGTCTTAAAAACGCCAGAGCGCAGTCCCCTTAACGCACGCTAAACCCACACTATCTCGAATACCGCTCCGGAGCGCTATTCGAGGCTTAGTGTATTATGGGCTTACATTTCTGCCACGATTGGCTGCCTTGACAACCAATCACAACATTTCTTGCATTACCTCGACAGCATAAGAGGACAAATACAGTGCATGCGTAATTATTATGCAAGTTGATATTCTGATATTTTTTTCGAAGCACATTTTACCAATTCCAAACGACATCAATCTTAATAACTACTATTAATCTTGTATTTAATAATTTATAATTGATATATAATTATTCATGAAGGCTGAAGGCTGAAGTGAAAAATGTCTTATATTCAGGTGTGCATAATTATTAA